CCCCCCCCCCCCCCCCGCAACCCCCACCCTCCCCTGCTAGGATGGGGATGAGTTCTTGGTTAAAACAACGAACAAGTCATGTGACCAGAGCCGATTCTCGTATTTTTAGCGTTTCTTGATTTTTTCAGTTCTTTATTACAATAAGCGCGTGAGGACCTATGTTGCCTCTCTCAACAAAAGCATCTAGCCATAGACTTTAAACCACAAGACTATATGAGGATTATATACATTGGGTTCTAAATAAGAATGAAGAGATAAAGCTATATGAACCCTTTGTATAGTATAGTCATAAAGTGTAATTGATACAATGGACCAAGTATACAAAATGCTAACTTGCATTCACAACACTTTCCTAGTGTATATGCTAGTCATAAAGTGTAATTGGTTTTTGTGTATAGATGTGTATGAGTGTACAAACATATATTACACCGCGTATGATTTGAACCTAGACACTTTTCATAAATTTGGACTGCACAAAATATCAGCATGATATTCCGGCACTACTAACCAAAATTGAATTGGAAAATTTGGACATTAAGCCCAAAGTGGTAATTTGGTAGCATTCAACGGTTGGGACGGAACCGCCCGAAATCCGCGAGTTTTTTTGACCGGTTCTTGCAAAACGACGTCGTACTCTGAGAGTTCCCCGGAGCCGCTGTAGTCTCGCCGGGATACACCACATCCGGTTCCCTCCGGCTCCAGCCCCGATTGGGGCTGGCCCACACCAACGGGTTCAGACAAGACGTCATCCCCGACGGACTCCGGCTGAAACGAGTTCTTCGGCCGCCTCTGTGGTGCGGCATCGCCGCCGGAGTCGTTGTGGTCCGGTTCTGCACCGGCGAGGACGGCGTCGAGCACCCGCTCGACGCGTCGTGGAAATGCTCTCCCTCCTCCTCGTTGGGATACGTCGCCGGCGATATTCCCCTGTCGCTAATCCGCCCCGTTCTCGGTCCGGCTCCGATCGGTGAATCGCTCGGATCGTCCGAATTCGACGCCACGGGATCCGAATTCGTTCCCCGATTTCCGGATTTATTAGACCTAAATAAATTGTAAAACAACGAGAATCCATAGCTTCTCTTCTTCTTCTCCTGCTTCTCCTCCGCGTACTCGTTCCATGAAATCAGCTCCCCATTCGGGCCCAACTGTGGAGAGCCGTAGACAAACCGGTCCGCCAAGCCGCGGCGGACGGCCGTCACAGATTCCTTCCTAAACGGCGAAACGGACCGCGGGAAAACAATCGGCCGAGTTCTACGGCGCTCTGCCTCCTGTGCCTCGCTGATAACGAGGAGCTTATCACGGAGGCAGGAGGCGCAGACGCCGCCGACGGCGCTGCTCAAGTCGGAGAAATGTCTCAGACACCTCATTTCTGCGTTCATCGGTCACCGGCGGCCTGCTGTTTCTAGTTTATACACATCAAGACTGGGAGAGTAATCTGAAGATGGGCATTCCGGCGAGCAGCTCCGGCATTTGTAGAACAGATGTTTGGGTTTTTATTGCGTGACGACAGAGACAAGTTCTCAGGGAGGAGAAGTAGAAATTAGAGAATAGAGATGTTTGAGGTTTTATATAAAAAAAACTCACCACATAATCATTTTCTAGTCAAATTAACTTGTCCATAAATATCCCTAAAAAAAACTTGACCACAAATAAACTTACATTTATTGTTAAATTATACTCATTCCCTCACCATTTTGATTGTAATATTATTTTATTTTTACTCTCGATAACTTTTATTTATTTATGTATTTTTATTGATTATTTAATAAAATAAAATATTTTTGTCATCTCTTGTCTCGTAGAACTTTGAATGTAATTTTATATCGTAATTCCCATTTTGTAATCAAAAATTCAAAATAGGGACAAATGGAGTATTTCTTTGAACAATAATAGAACTGCTAGTGATAAAAAAATATTTTCTTTAAACTACGGAGTATACAAAATCATACAATTATATAATTTGTTGATTATAGAATTTTTAATACTATAATTTTTAAATACATGTACTTCGCATAAATTTCATCAAGTACCATTTAGTATTACATCAATATTTTGATAAATTGGCTTTAGAAAAAATACTTTTGAAAATTTAAATTAAAATAATTTCAGTCTAACATCGTAAACTAATATTCCGATGTACCATGAGTGAATTTTATTTAGGGAGAATGGGTATTGAATTTTGATCAAAGTTCTTGGCTTAAGTTCTTTTAAAGTTTTAAGTCTAGTTTGTTATATTGCAAACTCTGATTTCTGGCTTCAGTTCGGTTAAATTTAACATTGTATGTTCGTTGCAAAAAACATTGTATCTAAATTTCAATATTAAAACTTGAATCTTTAAACTCCATTTAAGAGTAAGCAAAAAAAGCCCTTAAAATATCACACTAGAGTTATTCTTCCATAATCTTAAAGTCCACATGTAGAATATAGATATTCTTACATTTTTCACAGGTTAAAGCCTGGCAAGTAGATCATTTTTTTGGGAAAAAGCTCAGTTTTTTAATGATATCAATGCACTAAGATTTACAAATTGAACAGAACCTTAAGATCACGTAAGATTTTGCCATCGTTTGTCCATGGATTTTGCCCTTTTTTGTTACAAAAGGTTGAATCCCTAACGTCATGGGTCTCCCATTTCCCAACCCAGCGAGATATATGGACGTTGGTAAATGAGGAATCCAGCGGCTCGTTAAAAAAGGAGGCAAAGAGCCCATTATTATAGCCCAAAACGCCTCAGAATAGCACTCCATTGGAATCGACCCCAACATGTTGCCAATCTTGAAGAAGAATTATTTTCATTGATTAAATTGTGAGGAGAGTACATGTATATATACAAAAGTCTCAATCCTAATTAAGGTAGGAGAGACAATCTAGGAAACCTATACAAATATGGTAACAATAATAATACAATAATATTAAATATATTATATATATTTAACATGCTCCCGGCTACGTCGGCAGTGCTGGGGGTCGGATACCAATCTACCACCCAAAAATCTCCACATCTGGCTTTCTCTGAAGTCAAGAAATAATTGTGAGGGCAGTCCCTTTGTGAAGATATCAGCAAACTGAGAAGATGACGGAACATGCAGGACTTTGATCTGACCGAGCGCCACCTTATCACGCACAAAGTGTATGTCAACCTCGACGTGCTTGGTGCGCTGATGCTGCACCGGGTTTGACGAAAGGTAGACCGCACTGACATTATCACAAAAGACAAGTGTGGCGCGACGGAGTGGCTGCTGGAGCTCAATGAGAAGGTTTCGGATCCAGCTGGTTTCAGCAACAGCATT